TACATTCCATTGTTGGGCAGATTCATTAATATGTCTATCATGGATCCGAGATGACTCGTCGAAGTTCAACGTATTCGTTGCAAATTGGATAGCCACCATCCAGGAACTCACAGCGGCCTTCCAGTGGCATTATGTTCCAACAGCCACTAATCCAGCTGACATTCTCTCCAGAGGGGCCACTCCCAACGAGCTTATAGAGTCAAAACTTTATTCATGTGGTCCTGCTGAGAGCACTCCAAGAGTGCTGGCCTGCGTATTGTCTTCTTGAAAATCCAATACTGGAGTTACGCAAAAGAGTGTTGCTCATCACAGATCCTGCAGATGATGCCATATTAAGGTGCAAATATGTGAATTCTTTTTCTGCCATTCAACGAGTATTTGCCTATGTGTACAAGTTTATCCATCGTATTCGGCGCCCCGTACTTTTGATCTCCGACATACGTTTTGGATCGTTTATACTTTTACGAAACGTTCAAAGGGGTTCTCTATGGGATGATATAAAGAACGTGCAATCAAAGGGCGTGGTCGCTCGTTCCAGTATACTCTCATCATTATTGCCCTTTCAGGATGAATTTGATATTCTTCGAGTTGGTGGGCGCCTCGAAAAGTCAAACATTCCTTATGAGGCCCGTCATCCTATTTTACTGCACAGACAACATCCAGTTACCATCGCCATTGTCACTCACTTTCATGAGCGGAATCTCCATGCTGGACCACGAGCCTTGTTGGGAGCAATTCTTATGCAGTATTGGCCGATTGGTGGCCGTAAAACAGTTTCCAGCATAGTATACAAATGCATCAGATGTTTCCGGAACAAGCCGGAAAAGGAGCGATTTGTTGAAACTCGAGCGTTTGATATAACTGGTTTGGACTTCTGCGGGCCATTTTACTACAAGCCTGACACTCGAAACAAAGCTCCTGTAAAATGCTACATAAGCGTATTTATTTGCTTCGCCACGAAAGCCATTCATTTGGAGTTGGTCAAGGATCTATCTACGTGTGCATTTCTCAATGCTCTAAAGCGCTTTATATGCACTCGTGGCAAGCCACGTCAGATTTAGTCTGACAATGCTACCAACTTTGTCGGTGCCAAAAACGAGTTGGTAGACCTCAAAAATCTCTTCCTCAGTAACTGTCATCAAGAGGCTGTGCTCCAGTTTTATTTGGCGGACACAATTGTCTGGCGCTTCATTCCTTCGCGCTTCCCTCACTTTGGTGGCCTTTGGGAGGCGGCGGTAAAAAATGTTAATCGTCTGGAATGCTGGCAGCGAGTGTCCTACATGCACCAAGTCTTTTGGTCTCGCTGGCGAGAAGAATATTTAAATCTTCTCCAACAGCGTTCCAAATGGCAGACTCCCAAGCCTAGTGTGGCTCTCAACGACATCGTTCTTGGCAAAGACGAGAACTTACCTCCTTTGAAATGGCCGCTAGCTAGAGTGGTTGAATTGGTAAGGGGAACTGAGACATCACACGCGTTGCAGTTCTCAAGACTGCTAATGGAATCATAAAGCGAGAAACATATAAGCTGTGCCTGCTTCCCCTTAACGATCCTGTTGAACCTCAATCGATCAACGGGGGGAGTATGTTCGGTTCAGCAGCTAAAAATTAATTTAGAATTATGTTTGCACAACATTTCAGTTACATCTTGCCCTGCGAGGCAAGCAATGTAACTATTTTTTTTTGTTTGACGCTTCTCTCATATCATAAAACAGCTCAATGTTATTAGCTGATAACTATCTAGCGCTAGATAGATCCTTGACCAACTCCAAATGAATGGCTTTCGTGGCGAAGCAAATAAATACGCTTATGTAGCATTTTACAGGAGCTTTGTTTCGAGTGTCAGGCTTGTAGTAAAATGGCCCGCAGAAGTCCAAACCAGTTATATCAAACGCTCGAGTTTCAACAAATCGCTCCTTTTCCGGCTTGTTCCGGAAACATCTGATGCATTTGTATACTATGCTGGAAACTGTTTTACGGCCACCAATCGGCCAATACTGCATAAGAATTGCTCCCAACAAGGCTCGTGGTCCAGCATGGAGATTCCGCTCATGAAAGTGAGTGACAATGGCGATGGTAACTGGATGTTGTCTGTGCAGTATAATAGGATGACGGGCCTCATAAGGAATGTTTGACTTTTCGAGGCGCCCACCAACTCGAAGAATATCAAATTCATCCTGAAAGGGCAATAATGATGAGAGTATACTGGAACGAGCGACCACGCCCTTTGATTGCACGTTCTTTATATCATCCCATAGAGAACCCCTTTGAACGTTTCGTAAAAGTATAAACGATCCAAAACGTATGTCGGAGATCAAAAGTACGGGGCGCCGAATACGATGGATAAACTTGTACACATAGGCAAATACTCGTTGAATGGCAGAAAAAGAATTCACATATTTGCACCTTAATATGGCATCATCTGCAGGATCTGTGATGAGCAACACTCTTTTGCGTAACTCCAGTATTGGATTTTCAAGAAGACAATACGCAGGCCAGCACTCTTGGAGTGCTCTCAGCAGGACCACATGAATAAAGTTTTGACTCTATAAGCTTGTTGGGAGTGGCCGCTCTGGAGAGAATGTCAGCTGGATTAGTGGCTGTTGGAACATAATGCCACTGGAAGGCCGCTGTGAGTTCCTGGATGGTGGCTATCCAATTTGCAACGAATACGTTGAACTTCGACGAGTCATCTCGGATCCATGATAGACATATTAATGAATCTGCCCAACAATGGAATGTACCGGCTAACAGAAGTGCGCCACAAAGATCGAGTTTTGGTACCGTAAGAGTTTTAAGTGCAGCCACTCGTGATTTAGACCAAAATTGACGTGAACTCGAATGATGTCCCTTTGAAACCACGTAAATGCAAGCTCCGTACACAGTAATGCTGGCGTAACAGAAACCGTGAACCTCTACATCGCACATTGTATTGCAAAACAACCGAGGAAGGTAGATAATTAGACATTGCTGAGAGTTTGGCAAAGTTCCTGCAAGGCAGTATTTAGAGAAGTTGGAAGACTTTCACCCCACTACAAGTTTTCCTTCCAAAGAAGCTGCATAAAGATCTTGGCCCTAACGATGATTGGTCCAATTAATCCTGGTGGATCGTAAAAACGAGCTATAGTGGACAGAACAGTTCTCTTGCAAGGTTTAAGGGTCTGATTGGCAGGCGTGAGGGAAGACATTAATTTATGTGTTAAAGGATCCCAAGCAGGGACTAAAGTTTTGATAATGTCGCTTCCATCACTAAATTTTAAAAACGAGTCCTTATCCTTGTAAGGAACGCCTTTTAGCACTGCAGAGTGACTCGAGCACCTTTTTCTGAGTTGAAAGCAACCTTTAGAGAGGATGCCCTTTGTTTGATTTAAGACGTCGATCGCCTCTTGGACCGAGGCACCGCCAGATATAAGGTCATCTACATAGAAGTCTCGGCGAAGAATTTTGGCACCAGTTGGAAATGAATGTTGCTCGTCGACTGCAAGAAAGGAGGCTGGTTTCGTGCCATACGTAACTGTGTCCAACTTGAAGACACTTATTTCAGAATCAGTAGAGTTTCGCCACAAGATGCACTGTAGGTAATAATCTGGGACCGTAACTCTGACACAGCGATACATCTTGCCAATATCTACAGTAAGGGCAACAGGAAACGTGCGAAATCGCATCAAAATGTTAAACAGCTTTGGTTGTATGACGGGCCCAGCCATCAACACTTCATTCAGCGAACATCCAGTGCTGGTGACAGCTGAACCATCAAATACGACACGAAGTTTGGTGCTCGTGCTCCTTCAGCACGCAATGATGAGGAAGAAAATATTTGGATAGACCTAACGACTCCGGGGGTCGCATGAACGCGCAATACTGAGATTTAAGGTTGGGATATATTGATATATTGATATATTGATATATTGATATATTGATATATTGATATATTGATATTGATATATTGATATATTGATATATTGATATATAGATATATTGATATATTGATATATTGATATATTGATATATTGATATATTGATATATTGATATATTGATATATTGATATATTGATATATTGATATATTGATATATTGATATATTGATATATTGATATATTGATATATTGATATATTGATATATTGATATATTGATACATTGATATATTGGTATATTGATATATTGATATATTGATATATTGATATATTGATATATTGATATATTGATATATTGATATATTGATAAATTGATAAATTGATATATTGATATATTGATATATTGATATATTGATATATTGATATATTGATATATTGATATATTGATATATTGATATATTGATATATTGATATATTGATATATTGATATATTGATATATTGATATATTGATATATTGATATATTGATATATTGATATATTAAGTAATAATTCCATCGGCGGTTCGCTCACGGCGCTTCGGACCTGGCCGTCTTTCGAACGGTGCACGTCGACTACCACTCCTCTTGTCCAACAGTTTCGTTGGGCACCATCGTCCACTATTATGACGATGTCATCGACTGATATTGGTTCGATTGGCGGTTGGAACCACTTAGTACGTCTGGTGAGTGTGGGCAGATACTCGCTCAACCATCTCTTCCAAAATTGGTCAGTCATTCGTTCCCACGATCCTCCCATGTGGGGTGATCCTGGTGGAATAAAGGTAAACTCCAGTTCCGGGTATTGTCACTCGATCAGCGCCGGCGATATACGTTCAATTTCATCTTTTAATATTCTGCTAGCGCCTTTGAAATTTGTGCCATTGTCCGACAGCATGCGGCGGGGGCAGCCGCGTCTGGCCACGAACGACTTCAGAACGCATAGGTATGAGTCAGTCGAGAGCGACGTAGCTATATCTAGGTGAACGGCGCGTACCGTGAGGCATGTGAACAGCACACCCCAGCGCTTCTCACGCAGTTCGTTTACGACGATTTCGTTGTGCAGGTGATGATATTTGCGGTAATAAAACTCAACAAGCAGATACGTCAATCGATGTCGTCTTAGCAGAATTATCGGGCGTTTTACGCAGACTTCAACTCCTTCTATATTGTCTATCCGTCCCTTAATACGTAGAATGCCCGAGTCATCTATATAAGGAGAGAGCTTGAAGAGCAGGCTTTTGCGATCGGTTAGGCGGTGCCCCGACTTTAGGGAGGTAATCTCACTATAAAACTCCTCTTCTTGGCATATTCGAATAAAAATCACATCCATTTCTTTGCTGCGTTTAAGGAGCAGCATCTTCTGCAGCTCTAATCGCCCGTCCAATTTGGTCTTCTTAGTAACAATCCGTAGGAAATCCAGTACGCATAGCAGTGCGGCTCTCAATTTCTCCAGCTTGCTGAAGTGCTGCAGATCCGGCAGGATACATCTCCAAGAGTACGTGTGATTGGCTTGTTCTTCAGCATGGTATAACATGTTTATTGCCGAGCCCTTTTCTGTGCATGGCCACTGCGATTCTTCTAGATACAAAAATGGTGGTCCATTGAACCACCTGGTCGAGCCGTGAATTTCGGGCGTTTTGGTCCATTTTGTGCCATCGTCTGCCACGTTTTGAGCTGATGGGACCCAGCGCCAGCTGCCCACATCTGATTCTTCTAAAATCTCTCCGATGCGAAGCGCTACGAATTGTTGGAACTTTCGAGAATCGGACTGGATCCAGTAGAGCACGTCCTTTGAATCCGTCCAAAATGTTCGTCTATGTATGCGTACCGACGTTTCATTTTGGATACATTTGGCCAGTCTCAGACCTAAGACTGCGGCCATTAGTTCCATACGAGGTATAGACACGGGCTTCAAGGGTGCTACTCTCGTTTTTGAGGCGGCTAAACTGCAATGTACTTGGCCATCATGTTCAGCCCGCAAATATACAACTGCTGCATAAGCATTAATACTGGCGTCCACGAATGTGTGCATCTGTACAGTCTGGGTTCGTCTCACCCACTTCATACACCGTGGAATACGGACGGTATTCAACTTTGAAACTAGATCTAGCCAGTGTCGCCAATCCACTTCGTCTTCTTTGGTAAGGTCGTCATCCCATCCGATGTTGGATCGCCATCTGAAGGATGATCTTGGCGCGTATATTATAGAATCCTAGCAGCCCAAGCGGGTCGAAAATAGACATGACCACGCTTAGAACGCGTCTTTTAATTGGGCGCTCCTTAGATGCTTTTGCAAGCAAGTTCGGCTTTACCACAAAGGTCAACAGATCTTGTCCAGGTAGCCACCACAGGCCCAGGACCTTTTCTTGCGCTTCATCCTTACCGCTGATACGCTTGTCCAAGCCCTCACAGTCGTCTTCCAGCGCCTGCATAACTTGCTTTGAATTTGATGTCCATTGGCGCATCTCGAAACCGCCACTAGCATGAATCCTTTTTACAGTCTCAGCTAACTGCATCATTTGGGATTCTGAATCTACCGACTGCAGCCAGTCGTCTACAAATGTGTTTTCGCAAATCGGATTCTTGACGTAATTTGCTAGGGCTGGCGAACAGGATGCTCCGAACGTCTTGACTTGCATAACGTACGTTTCGGGAGAGCGCGACGAATCTCCATCACGCCAGAGAAACTTCTGAGCCGCTTGGTCTTCTCGGCGCACCTTGACCTGATGACACATTTCCCGTATGTCGCCGGATACGGCGAAGCGTATTAGCACGCCCATCAAAGATGGTAGTGTATCTGGATAAGCAAACAATCGTTCAGCGACGTGCCACTAACTTTGGCGGCTGCATCCCATACCAAGCGTGTCTTTAGCTTGTTCGGATTGGTGACTGTAAAGATAGGAAGAAACCACGACATCGTGTTAGCTACTAACTCAATATCCTTCAGCCGGCGGATATATCCTTTCTGTTTATAGTCGTGCATCGTGTTCATCATGAACTTCTTTAGTGGTGGGTCTTTGAACATCTTTGCCTCTAGACATTTAAGGCGCTTAACCGCCATCTGGTAAGAGTTTGGCTTATGAATGCGATCAAACCGCCATAGCAGGCCAGTCTGCCAGCGCTTTTCGTCTTCCAGATAAGTTGTTGTTGCCTCCATTATCTGGATCGAGCGTTCGTCCTCTCTGGATCTCAGCGGATTTCAGGAGACGCTCACACCTAGTGACTCCAGGGCAAAATAGCTCTTCAGAGCCTCATCCATCCCACGTGTCGCACTGCACTGGCAAATATGTAGCAGACGAGGCGTGGTGCTTTCACCCACCATAGGGCGGCCATATACAGCCCATCCTAGTCTGCTTCGCGCTGCTATGACGTCGCAGGGGTGCAGTTATTTTGATGTTGTCCAAGCCGATAATGAGCTGAGCCTTTACGTAGTTATACGGCAGGATGGGAAGCATAGATAAATACTTCCGAGACTTAAGCAATTGTGGCCCGATACTTTGCTCTGTACCGCATTATGTTCTAGTTCCAACTCGGCTGCAAGCGCTCTTTCTATTAGCGTACACTCAGCTCCTTCATCCTTCATCCTTACTACCGCTCGTGGTAGGCGTATGTAGCAGTACATGGTGCGTTGACTCGCAACCATCCACGTGACATTTCTTCTTTGTTTTACACTGTTGTGCACGATGTCGCATAAAGCAGCAAAAGCAAAGCCGCTTTTCCTTGACAAGTTCCCACCGCTGTTTTGTACCCATGGCTCTAAAGTCGCCGCAATCTGAAAGACGGTGGTTACCAGCGCACTTTGCACATGAAACTCTCTCCTGTTCCTGTTGATAACGCTGTTGCGGCGAACCCTCCGGGTTGTCTACTGTGTTGTGCACAAAAATTCGCTCTCTAGTGGTTTTCGTGGAGCTCTTCTTTTCGTTATCAGTCCGTGGTATCTCGTAGGGCGTGACCATATTGGCGCACATAGCCACATTAAACAGCCAGTTATCAAAGGTGGCCAAACTACTACCATCATTTGACATTCGATGCCGACCCCAGTCCAATTTCATATTGCTGGGCATCTTAGCAGCAAGTTCGTTTAACAGCGCGGGATCGTAAAGATATTCGTGCATACCAATGGCCACTATCGTTGCGCAGTAGTTTTGGACAGCTAAGGCCAGTCGGATAACAGTGTTCAAATTGTCCGATTTTATTGCTGGCGCCTCTCGTAGCTGTTGCTGCAACGCAGCATGTACTATTCAGAGCGGCCATACAGCATTCGCAATGTGCCTATAGCATACGGTACTGTAGCTGGTATCATAAGCTTTCCACGCACCGCATCCAGGGCTTGCCCTTTGAGGCACTTCTGAAGCCGGATGAGATTTTCCTCATTGCTGAATCCACATCTCTCTGTGGATTGCTCATAATTGCTGATAAAGATCAATCATTCCTCTGGTTTGCCAGTAAATATTGGTAAATCTTTGCTGATTACGTGTCGCGCACTGATTTGCCCAGATGTCAGCGGTCCATTCCAAGGCGTCGCAGCATTAGAATGTACATTATCGAATTGCTGCCGCGGCGGGTGCTCTATCGATCTATTAAGCGCTCCCAGAACTGTGTGGCCCATGTACGCGGCAGTACTGGGCTCCGTAGCCTGGTTAAACACCGCCGTGTTTGCTTGATATGGCAAACTAGGGTGTACACTCCAATTAGCCGCAACCTGTTTCTGCTTGCAGATCACGTTCTGGCATCCCAAAGGGTTGAAGAATGCTCCCTCTTTCTCAGTTCTTTGCTGCGTCGGTGTTGAACTTTCCCTTGGACCAGTAGCTGCAGACGACGTAGACGTACAGCCGCTATAAATTTCTATGTTTGCTGCTCCGCTACCCTTTTCTAGGCCGGCGACTTTATCTTGAACTCCAGCGAGGACAGGCGATCCGTCAGCCTGTCCCGTTGACCATGCCGTTACAAGCGTTGCAGTTCCACCGGGTTGATTACTACTTGTCGTCCTTCTCGCACTTGCATCTTGTTCATCACCGTCAGCCATCTCGCCACACCAATACAGTGAAGTCCGCTTTGAGGTTATGGCAACACGTGTCTCTATAGGCAGCTCAGGTTGTGACTTTGCAAGTCGCTTGCTTCGCAGAAATCTCCGCCGTAGCACCTCAGATACTCTCTGCAGCAGAGAATATTTCAGAATGTTGGCGCCGAGAGTCGCGCCGGGCGCGTATTTGGCAGGGATTTCTAGCGTCGAAAAGAAACAACATTCGATTCGATGTACGATACGACACGATTCAATTCGCTACGTACGATTGGCTGAAATCTTTATTATCTTTCATTATTTAATGATCTACATATATTTAACAAGTTTATGAGACTTACATTCGTGCTCCGCACGCGCTTATCTTCTTTTAAACTTCTGCTCAGCTGCAAGCACAAAACGAAAGTGAACCTCGACGAAAAGGCAAATTGTGCAGCTGCGTGATATCGACTTCTGTATGTACAAACTAATTCTAACGGTGCACTTCCAGCGTAAGAAGCGAGCGCCGCTTACAGAAAAATGCGATGCCCAGTAGGACTTAGTGACAATAGACATTTTCACTTCGCCCCGTAACTGATATATTGATATATTGATATATTTATATATTGATATATTGCCGGCGACTCTTCGATCGGCCTTGTTGTTGGCGTGGAGACATCGTGCTGTTACGAGACGAAGGTTAAAAAACATGATAAACGTTAATTATGCGGCTTTATATGGATGGTCCACAGACCTGTGGATCTAGGATTCTAGTCTGTACTGGAGATTCTACTTGATAGAAAATGGAGACTAGGTTCTATCGGGAGCAGGATCAGCTAAGAGGTAGGTCTCATGGAGACACCTCGGGCTGTTAACACGTCGACCACTCGGACTTTTTGGTCGTCGCCAGGATTGGATTCAACCCAGACGCCAGTCATTAACTGGGATATTATCTTCTTTAATAATGACTAGATCGTCCCGTTGTAAGTCTCGCGTTGGAGTTTGCCATTTGTTATTTTGTGTAATTCTTAAAGATACCCATGTTGTTGCAAAGCCTTCAAGCGCTGTCAGCGGTTGATGATGGACGTGGCGTTTTCCTTGATCTCGGCTCTGTGGCGGAAAGTAGAGGACCCCCGACTGGAAAATGACCGGGAGTCAGAGCTAAGAGATCAGTAGGATCTTCTGACATTGGAGATATCGGTCTTGAATCCAGGCATGCTTCAACTTTGGATAGTCGATGTAGACTTATAAAGTAGAGTTTTAAAACTCTTTACACCTGCCTCTCACAGGCCGCCCATATGCGGTGGAAGTGCCAGGACAGTTTCTGGAGACTGTAAGTGGCCTGGAGTTGTGTCTTAAGCGTTTCCACAAAATCGCGCGAAAGAACTTTGGCCGCTCCGACTTGGGCACCCTCGTCTTGCCACAAATCTCGCAAATGCCGCTAGGAATTTTTCTGTGGTCAGGTCAGATGAAGCTTCTACGCAAAGACGCACACGTAGCCTTTTGTAATAAGGCAGGCGCGACCTGGGTAATTTTTAACTTCGAACGACTCCTGTGTGAGTAAACGGCCCAGAGAATGTGACTCTCTCCACAGTCAAGTCGCCCATGAGCTGCGTTTGTAATTTCTTTTTTTGGATGACGCAGATTTTGCAGGAATGGATTGTGGATTTGACCAACACCTTGAGCTTTGGAATCCAATACCGTGAACGTATTAGACGCATCATGAGCTGGTTGCCTCCATGCAAGGATATACAATGAGTGAAAGCGGCCAAGAGACGCGTGTATCGGATGCCGTTCTTACCCGACCACATGCTCGAATAATACCCTTACAATCTAAAAAGGGGTTCAAATTAAGGAGTTTGCTGGAAGTGAGCTGTTTTTTCGTACTCAAGCAAGTTTACTCTGACAAGTATGCTTGTCTCTTGGTCAGGAGAATAAGTCTTTCTTGTGCATAAGAAATCTCGTTGCTGTCAATTTCAATAGTTGACGGAAGCGACAATGGTTTGCTTGAAGAAGCGATAGATCAATGCCAACAATCGCAGGGCTCGATCGAACTTGAAGAAGAAATGAGGCAGCCGGTTCTTGGAGCCAGAACTCCTGCATGAATATTTTTGCCTGAACAATGACTGGACCCAGCCAACCTGTTGGATCGAACAGTTTGTAAATCTGTGAAAGGACTTCACGTTCGGAGACGGGCTGCTTGGTTGTTAGCTCGGGTGGAGCGAAAAAGAACTCATCGGTGTCCCGAGAGTCTTCGCCGAACAGGCCTCCTCGATTTCTAAGAAGTCGGCGTGAAGCAAGTGGTCCTTGGGAATCGCTCTTAACAAGTCCCTTTTGCCATTTTTTGCCAAACGATTCTCGTTTCGAAGAAAATAGCCGAAAATCGTTTCTTGACCAACGAGAGTGCCACATATATTGGGATAGGAGCCACCTAACAATATGGATGGGAGGATATCGGCGCCGAGAAACACTTCTATCTGTGAGCGCCTGTAGAAAGAGGGATTGTTCAAGTGTAATTTTGGAAGTTCTTTCAAAGCATTTTGGGGGATGGTGTAGGAGGGCAAATTGCCTGCTAGCTTTGGAAGAACATAAGCCGAGGTTTCAATGGGAACCCTGGGCTTTATCGGAGAGCCAATATTAAAATGACAGAGTTTTTGAGGTTGAGCCGAAATAGCTTGATTTAATCCAGAGACCTGTGCGTCGACGGGTTGATATGGATGTTTAACCCTTTTGAATAACCGCTCTGATATAAAGGTCGTTTCTGACCCAGAGTCGATTAGT